TCTCGTTATATTGAGAAACTTTCTCGTAATAATGACTTAGTTTCTCATTATATTGAGAAACTTTCTAGTAATAATGACATAGTATCTCGTTATATTGAGAAACTTTCTCGTAATAATGACTTAGTTTCTCATTATATTGAGAAACTTTCTCGTAATAATCACTTAGTTTCTCGTAATAATGAGGAACTTTCTCATAATAATGACTTAGTTTCTCATTATATTGAGAAACTTTCTCGTAATAATCACTTAGTTTCTCGTAATAATGAGGAACTTTCTCATAATAATGACTTAGTTTCTCATTATATTGAGAAACTTTCTCGTAATAATCACTTAGTTTCTCGTAATAATGAGGAACTTTCTCATAATAATGACTTAGTTTCTCATTATATTGAGAAACTTTCTCGTAATAATCACTTAGTTTCTCGTAATAATGAGAAAGTTTCTCGTTATAATCACTTAGTTTCTCATTATATTGAGAAACTTTCTTGTAATAATCACTTAGTTTCTCATTATATCAAAATGAAAGCCATTACTATAAACTTTATTTATAGATGTGTATTTCGATGATTTATTAGTTTTATTAGCTGTCCCTTTCATGCATCACAAGCAATGTTTATACAGTAAGCCATCTCATTTCAAAAGCACAAAGCATCGTTGTTCATTACCACGGCAACCGCTTGGTCTTCAGCGTCCCGCTTCTTGCAGGACAAACACTTAACGTTAATCTTGCATCATAAAACCATAAAAGTTTAACTGTTCAGGACAAACAAGGGACTCTTGAACAACTATCACTAAACAAACAAACAAACAAAAACAGCTGTGGATCATTAAGGTAACCACACAGTATTAAGAATAAACTTTTTTGTAAACTTTTGAAAGGGGTAATTTTTATCAATTCAATAATTATTTTCTCTTGTGGACAATATGTAAACATATTTTATGTGAAATATCTTATTCAGGTCAGTACCAAACAAACAATAACATGCATTTTGTATGATCCCTCTTATTTTGGTACAATAATTAACATTTTGCACATTCTGCAGGGGGGTGTAAACTTTTGACCTCAACTGTATATGTTCAGATTGTTTATTTGCAGTTACATCCTAAAACAGACACAGATCCTCAGTGAATCAACGAGTCATATTACATTCGCAGAGCATGGTCAACATTACTAATTTATAATTACAAATAAAAAAAACTCACCTTCCTCACATCCTTTGTGTTTCTTAGCAGGAATTCATGGAAGGACTCCAGGCAGCTGCGGTAACTCAAATTGGTGGCAACTTCTCTGTATTTGGCACTCTTTGCTGTGCATCACCCCTCCCCAACGAATAACTTAAAAACACAAGTTAAATGAACTTTTACAAACCAGACATCAAAACTCTGAACTAGTCAAGATAATGTATTACTTTACAGTGTGCTCAATAATGTGTCTTTGACCTTCATTATGTGTGTTTTGATTATACTGTGTTGTAAATAAAATACAAATAATCAAAACCACCAGTATTTTAATCTTTTCACATTCTTTCTTACCTGCCTCACAGTCACACTGATGGCCCGTTAGGGGAGGCCCTTTGTCTCTCAGGTGTGAATCAGAGATATTCATGGCCATTGTCTCTCCTTCACATACAGCCTTTCTTCATCAATGAGGCTGAAGAACAGTAAGAATATAAAGCTTCAAGCAGTTTTAGATTTGTTGCAGTAGGAAAAATTGTAAAAGCTGTGCAATAATTTAGCTGAAAAAGACACTTTTTATAAACTGGGTACATTTTGATTTACTTACTTTTCAACAATTAATTTATGTTAGATAATTGTGTAGTTGATAAAGCATATTTATTATCACTACAGAAACATATCACTAAATTGTGCCTCTATTGTTTAAAAATGTTTAATAATTATTATAATTATTAAGTAATAGTTACAATAATACATATAATAATAATACAGCAGGGCTCACTTTCATGTCCTTAATTTCACATTTCTTTCTTTCACATTTCAGTTTTTTAAAAAACAATTACATTTTGTTTTCCAGAGTTGATTGAAGAAAACGAGGATGATGAAGAACTGAATGAAGAGGAGAAAAATCACGTCAAAACTGGAGAAAAACCTTTGAGTCGCTCTCAAACCAAAGAGAAAGATTTAAAGAAAATAAGAGTAAAGAAATATTTCACCTGCACTCAGTGTGGAAATAGTTTGAAACACAAACAGAGTCTCGAGTTTCACATGAGGATCCACACTGGAGAGAAACCATACACATGTGATAAGTGCGGGAAGAGTTTCAGACAATCAGCACACCTTCAGAGACACATGAGGATCCACACTGGAGAGAAACCATACACTTGTAATCAGTGTGGGAAGAGTTTCACAGAATCATCAAACCTTAAGAACCACATGATCATCCACACTGGAGAGAAACTGCATGAATGTGATCAATGTGGAAGAACATTTTTGAGGGCCTCAGACCTGAAGAGTCACCTGAAAGTTCATACGAAGGAGAAACCACATTCATGTTCTTTCTGTGGAAAGAGGTTTTCACATCTGCATCATTTAAAAGTACATCAGAAGAGACACACTGGTGTGAGAGAATATATGTGCTTTGAGTGTGAGAAGAC